TACATGCTCACCACTAAACCTGGAAATACTGTAGCTATGTGCTCACCACTAAACCTGGAAATACTGTAGCTACATGCTCACCACTAAACCTGGGAATACTGTAGCTATGTGCTCACCACTAAACCTGGGAATACTGTAGCTATGTGCTCACCACTAAAAGGCTAATCCAACAAATTGTAAGCCACCAATGGAGTGGAACAGTAAGCAGCTCTCAAGAGGAATGAGGTAGACCTTAGATGTCCTTACAGAAAGCTCTCTAGGACAAAACACTAAATGCAAAGCACCTTTCAAGCAAGAGTTCTAGGAAAACAACAGCCAAGTCTCTCCACACTCTCCTCCCTCTCTGTCCCCACCTTTCCTTTCTTCCTCTAAAACTGTTCCTAGGAGGAAATGGGAGCAAGGGGGAGACAATTTTGAACCATACACGTCTTCTAACTTTGAGCACAGCTAATCTTTATCATTTTTAAAATGGCAATAATTACTCAGGTAGTCAAAGCAAAGGCTAGGGTTCAATTTTTAACTAACGAGAAGACACAAAGTCTGGTCTTTAGGTTACCAAAACACACCTATTTGTTTCCAGTTACTTTAATAAAAAAAAAAAAAAAGCATGACACCAGCAAAAAAAAAAAAAAAGAAAAAAGAAAATTTGTGTATCATTTGTTGATAGTGGATGTAACAGATACATGCCGGGAAAGATCTTACTCCAGATGGTGAGTGAGTGCTGAAATCAACAAAGTCTCCAGATTTGCCACATCACTCTATCCTATCTCCTCTCTTTAGTCACTCACACACACACACACGCACACACACACACACACACAGTGCAGACACACACATGCCCACATACACACAGGGTACCACCAAGCCTTCATCTTCCTGCAGCAAAATTAACGGCTGAGAAAAAGTGCTATTGATTTATTTGTATTTATTTACTTATTTTGTCTTGAAAAATGCAATCTTCCCTCATGATTCCATCTCTGGAGTCAGAAGATTAAATTTTGGGGGGAGTTCGGGAGCTCTTGGTATAGTTTTTAAGCTTTGAGAAAATCGACAACATAATGGAACAGGAAAAAATTTTCTCGGTGAAAAATCCTGAGATCCTGCCAACATATAAGACGTGAAGTGCAAGCAGACCGGTATGAGCTACACAGTGAGACCCTAACTCAGAAGAGAAAAAAAAAACACAAACAACAACACCCCCTCATCTGTCTCCAGTGGATTCACGCACTGACCCTGAGGCAGTTTTGCACCTGGAGCTCTGGAAGGCAGCTCCGGAAAGCAAGATCCCGATACCATTAGCTTGGCATCTATATGAGTCATCAGCTACATCTCCTCTCCTCAGCTCCTGTCACACAGTAGCCCAGAAAGGTCTCGACTTCTCTCTGGCCCCAGCATGAGGGAAAAACACAGGATACATTCACCTGGTGGGGCGCAGTTGTACAGACGCACAGACTTCTACGACTAGCGAAGTCTGACATGCAGAGCCGCACTCTCATTAAAAACACACACCAAAAGGTTTATCTGAGAGTCAGTTACTCTCTCGTTAACACTCCAAACTCTATTTCCCCTTCGGCTTTTGCACAATAAAACAAACGCAATCCCTTGGGACACTGGCGCAGCATGAAGCCTGGAATATACAGGGCCACGGCTTTCAAACGCTTTTACCTGGGCTAGTCCTAATTTAGAAATGATACAGCCTGTGGGCTCACTTCATTGACCATGCAGATCTACAGGAACCAGCTTGCTCAAAACATCGTCTAGAAGGCCAACTTTCTCTCTGATGCAAAGTCGATCATTAGTAAAGACAAAAAGACAAAAGAAAAAAAAAAGTGAAGTTAAATCACAGAAAAGCCGGCGGAGAACCAAATCGGCGTTTGCCTTCCTTTTGCAAGGAAGTTGTGGAAATGGACCCAGTGAATGCTGCTCAGCCTTGGCTTCAGCCTGGGTCTGTGCATGACACAAGCAGACAGCAAATTCTGGTGTGTGAGCCCATGACAAGGGGCATGCAGGCACGGAACACCGACTGGACCGGCCTCTACTGGCCGACTAGAACCACTGAGAGCTACCCTGTAGGGCTGTGCAGAGGGGGCAAATGACCATGAATGCCCCTGCTGAGGACAAGGATATGACTATGGTAAGGATGAGAAGAAAAGACAGAAGGGCGTTGGAATCTCTTTCATTAAAGTAACCAGGAAACTAAGACTAAAGACTGAAAGCCACACAGATACTTTAGAGTTGTTCCATTTGGCATGACATGGGGTTAGGGATCCAAGTCTCGCCTCCCAGATACCTTTCCTATCTGTGCATGTCCTACGTGGTGATATTAAGCAAAGTCTTTGGAGACAGCCTCCACGAAGTTTGGGGCCGACATGAGGATGCCAATGGTGCAGATGATGGTGAAGACCGAAAAGGCCATGAGGCACAAGCGGTCCACCACGCAGGCTGCAAACTTCCACTCACTGCAGACCACCTCACTCTCATCCTGGCAGCGGAAGCGGTTGGCAATGTAGCGGACCTCCTCCAGGATCTTGGCCAGGTCAGAGTCCCCATCGGAGGGGTGGGCACCATGCAGGAGATGTTCATTGTGTGTCGGGGAGCAGGCCAGACGACCACACACAACCCCAGAGTCTGGAGTCGGGGCACAGTGCATGCCCTCCAGGCCTCGGAAGCCGATGTAGAGTAGGTTGCCATTGCTGGTGGGTGGCCCAGCACCTGCGCTCAGCTCCACGCTGGCCAGGCTGCAGCGGCGAGCCTTGTGCTGACAGGCTGGCCGCACCTTGTCCTCCCCGGGCCTCTTCATCCGCAGGAACCACGCACACCAGTTCAGAAGAATGATCCTGGTCTGCAAAGACAACGGGATGTCAGGAGCCGCCCAGAGTTCTCTCAGCTGAGCCCCCCAGCAACATGACCCACGAAAGAAGCCTGCTCTACAGATACTGGGGAGAACAGGCTCCCCTGTCTTCTCAGTGGATTTACACAGCAAATCAGTGAGGACACCAGGCGAAATTGGAGTCAAATGTGAGGTGAGACTATGACCTATGCCTGTTTATCAATGTGGGAGCAAACTGAAGTTCCCCTGGGGTGGACATATTACACTCTATATGAGAGAGAGAGAGAGAGAAAAACTATTAAGCTCAGTAAGAATGCCCGAGATGTGTATAACAGGGTGAGCAATTTTCTTTTCTGAACCTTCCTTTTGTATTCCCAAGGCTCCTCAAGTCTCAGGCTTTCATACCAACTGTGAGGTGTCCTTCAAGATCACTACAAGCTAAGTGAGGCTCTGTAACATGTCAGACACAGAGTGAATCCCCAGTTTGGAGCACCTTCAGGTTTCTGACATCGGACAACCACACCTTCTGTCAGAAAGTCCGTATCTTTGCCAAGCTGGTTTTAAGAATTGTGCCAGAATTACCAAGAGAATCAACGAGAAACAGAAAATGAGGGTGGTTATCTCTCATCTGTTCTTAGGAGTTCAGAGGATGTGTCTGGGCTCCATGGATGCCAGACTGTGAAGGCAAAGGTGCGTGATGATTTGCTTTAACCTATGGAAATGGACCACAGGGCCTCCGAGGCCTATGGAAAAAGAACAGCTAAGATATTAGTATGGAAGAAAGTTTAGGTGCTTCTAACCCAACTCATTAGGCTCTGATGATGAGCAAGTAAGACCGGGTTTGGGGCAGTATATGGAAAAGGCAGAAACGGGTATTAGTATACTTCCTATGAACAGTCCAGGTCATGGGGGCCCTCCGACAACAATGCCTCCTGCTGGTGTGCACGTAATGAGTGCATGAGTGGGTGGGTGTGAGTGATGCCTAAAAAAACCCCTTTTTATAAACTATTTTTAAAAGACTGAGGGCTTTTGGGTATTGGAGTTTATCAGCCTGACCCTTAAAAGTGTTATACACGGGTAGTGCCTGATGCAGAGGAACTAGGGAAAGGTTACCCTGAGAGGTTACAGGTTTCGTGTTTTGTGACAGCTGAAATCTCAATCTGGACAAAGAAGAAGATTTTTGAAGACAGTCACAGTGTGTGAACAGTGTGCCTTTTCCTAAAACACCTAGATTCTCACTTCAAATTCCTCTTGACTTAGGACCAGACTTCCGCCTGCAGGGGAAGATGCACGCTATGAAGCCCACCCACATCTGCCGTGCTTCTTTCGCGGCAGTCATTTTTATGACATCTTAATAAAAAAAATGCAAAAATCAGGTCTGTAGCTAGAGAGCGAGAAGCACAAGAAATGTCAAGTGGAGGTTCCCCACAACTGGGAAGCCTTTCACAGCCTTATACTTCCAGGGTGGGAGACTGCACTGGGGAAAGCCCATGGCTGCAAGAGCTTTTCCAAATTAGAAAACAGCTGAGGTCCACAGCTCCCTTCTCATGAGACTGAACATCCAGCGCAGTCATCTGGAGCCATGAAATGAGAATAGCTTCCCCATTTTACAGATCGACTAAAACTCAGAGGAGGACTACCTCAAGGTCAGTCTTTACTGTGTTTAGACCACAGCAAGCCTCATCTACCAAAGGTGCCCCAGGGTTCTCCTCAGAACTCCTACAACTTAGCCCAAGCCCTCTTTCAGAAGACACCAAGAAGGTCTGTGCTAGATCTTAAAGGAGGCTGTCAAACTACAAGAGAATCTGAATCCCAAGGCAGCTGTGCACACGAGAGCCGAGCAGGGTTGGTTACCTTTCCTGCCACACAGGGGTCCATGTGTTCTCTGGGAGGCATTTGCAACTAGTAGGATCCATTTCACCAAGTCTATTTTGAATTCCATGGCTTTCAAGGATAGCACATCTCCAAAGATGGAATTATTCTTCTGGTACTTATCAAACCGTGTCTATGACCTCTTCTGTCAGCCTACGGTTTTGTTGTTACTTGTGCAAATGTCACATAATACCACTGCGCCTAGCAGTCTCTTCTTCATGATAGCAACAGACCATAAGAGAACCTGGGAAACTATTTATGTTTCCAAGACACATGGATGAATAAAAAGTGCTGTATGCTTTATAAAATGAGAGAAATACACACTTAGGTTTTACTTGTAGCCAACTGGTTTTAATAACCTTTTATTCCAAGAGAGCTATAACAGACAAATGCTCTTAATTAAGATTCTGGGACAGTAAAGTGGTACCAGTTCATTAAAAATGGTTTTGTGTCTCTGTGTGTCAGTTCCTTTATCTTCATACCAGCCAAAATACTCAAAGAAGTAAGAATGACTGCATTTTATATTAGCATAAACACTAGAGAAAAATAGAGAATTCATTAAAATGATTGTTGCTAAAATGGTCGTTGTGAATAGTATTTTGACTGGGCAAAGATATATTAATTTGTTTATGCTGCAGAATATTTAACTATATAAAGGGGTGTTATATTTGTTTATGACACATTTGTTTAACAATGTAAGGATGGGTTACATTTGTATATCTTGCATTTGTTTCATTACCTAAAGATAAGTTGCATTTGTTTCACCTTGCCTGCCTAAGTTATCTGATTGGTTTAATAAAAAGCTTAACATCCAATAGTTAGGCAGGAGAGAGATAGGCCGGTCTGGCAGGCAGAGAGAATAAGTAGGAGAAATCTAGGCTCAAAAGGAAAAAGAGAAGAGAGGAGAGAACAAGGAAGAAAGAAGATGCCCGGGGTCTGCTGGCCAGGCAGCTGACAGACAGAGAAACATGCATTCTGGACTTGACTGGATTCCAGTGGTCTCTCAACTTGGGCACAACATTTGGTGCATTGGCCAGGAACCCTGGGGACCCCTGCCAGGTCTATAGGTTTGTTCTGATCTGATATCGGTAAGATTTATGTATGTGTGCTGTCAACCTGAAAACAAATGTGCTTTTAGTCTGATCTGTATATATATATTTTTTTTCTTTCTAAGGCCGGTCAGTAGCTCTCATGGAGATAGTGAGAATGGGTGGTCCAGGCTCTCACTAAGGACAGACGTGTCCGGGCGGTGATCCTGGAAGGAGAGAGAGACATCTCTCTCAGGAGGCAGCAGTTGTAGGGCTTCTAAGCAGACCACAGATGTGGAATCCTCTTGGTCTCAGCAGCCCCAACATTCTGAGCAGACAGCAGACATGGAACCCTGTTGGTCTCAATAGCTGCCCGCTTTTCTGGGATTCTCAAGAGGAAGAACCAAGTTCTGAGCAGATCACAAACATGGAATCCTGTTGGTCTCAGTGGCCTCCAGCTTTTCTGGGTTTCTCAAGAGGAGAAACCAGGTCGGGACATCCAGGTTTATCTTTATTTTTATTGGCGCCTATGTCTTTGTAAATGTCAAAGATGTATCATGTTTGGGAAAAGTTTATGCTTTTGTTTCCACAGGAAAAGAAAAATATATGAATTTTAATCATTATATACAATAGGTTACAAATACTTATCACCTTTGATTAAGATGTATACATTTCTGCTTTTGTTTAAATATTAAACAAATATGCAATGTTCTGCTGGACAAAAATCACAGAAAAAGACTTTGATGAAAAATTGTATATTGTCAGGAAAATGAGAGGAGAGACAAAAAAGTTTTTGATAAAAGTTTTTATGTAGTCTAAAAAGCAAAAAAAAAAAATTCAGAAGGTATATGAAAAGTTGTAAAAGGCCAGAGGATGTGAACTATGTTTGCTATGGTTTCTCATAGTTTCTCGTATCTGTAAATACTAAATTTTAAAAGGAATATATAAACATAAGCTAAATGTTTGACATACTAGGTTAATTCTGGTTTTTAAAAAAAATCTTGTTTGTCTTGTTAAAGGGTCATGTCTCTTTTTTGAAAAAAAAATATGTATGTTTGTTTTGTTGAAAAGTTAGCCTATGGTAACTGAAAATTTTGTACTTGTTCCCTGAGTTCCTATCACTAGATTCAGGTTATCAGGAATTTGGATGTCTTTTTGATGTAGATAATGTTAAAACTGTTTATGCTGTTCTTTATTGGAAAGCTGCATCTCAATGTCTTTATACACAAGAATGTACCTTGTTCTGTCAATTAAACCTTGTAATTCAAGAGTCACCCAGATAAAAGACTAAAAGGGATCACAGAGAACAGCTGAGACTAGAGTGCCCAAAAAAGAATAGTTGCAAGGATGGACCTTAGCAATTTTAGAAACACCAATGCCAGGTGATAGTCACCAGAAGCGTCAGCTAAGTTAAATCTGATAACATATGTTATAAGTCATATAACATATGATATAAAGTCCTGGTCTTATTAAAGATGCAAACTTACTGTAGACCGTTAGAAATACAAGTTAATAATCAGTCATCCTTGAAGTACTGCTATAATTACATGGATAAGTCTTATTTAGTCCTCTGTATAGATTTTTAAAGTCAATTAACACCAGTAATTAATAATAAAGTTTGTCTAATCAGATATATCTGGGCAGTTCTAAATACTTGAGATCTGCAGAATATGGCATTTAAAATAATAATTAAAAAGTTTATATCAGACAGAGACTCCAGATCCTAGCAATGACCCAAGGGCTCCAAAGATTATGGGACACCACCATGTCTCCACCTGGATAATGATTGACACTGACCGCTGGGCAAGATGCCCCAAAGCACCAACTGCTGCCAGGACCCAGCCCAGACTGTGGACACTGGAGAACTGATTGTACCACTTTTGCCTAGACAACATAGGGTCAGTCTTTTCCATGTCCCTCTTCCAGAGGAACCTCCCACCTTATGGGCCTGGTAAAGCCCGCTTCTGATACTTCTGCCTCCAATGCTATGGAGACCTAGGTATGACTGTACAGGGGCTGGTCTCTGTTACTTCATAATAGTTTGGAAAGCTGTTTGGTCTGTACTTTAATATAATTTATTTATCCTTCTGAGATCTCTGACAGTGTTGATGGCTGGGCTAGCTATAGCCTTGCTAATTTGACAGCATCAAAATTTCAGACATAACTACTCACTGCTTGGGTCCCAAGCTCAGGATTTTAAATTTTTTTTAGTTGTCTACACACTTTTAACCCAAATCTGTTTTTGCTAGGATTCAAAGTATGAGTCTAGCTTTGCTGTTTTATATCTGTTATTTGTTTTTTTCTATATTATGGATTTTAATATGGGCCTAAAAGTTTCAAATGTGTTAAACTTCTGTTCCTAGTTTGAATTTGTCTCAACAGGTTCCCTCTTGGCTGGCAGATACAACCAAGCATTAGTTGCTGACTACAATCCGCTCCAAATGACCGTGGAACCTGGACTTGCTCAAAACTGATATGAACCAGTCTAGCCGATGTGAATGCTCCCTGGCTCTTCAACAGAGTTCACAAACCAGATGCTCCTGACAAATTCCCCATTGCTTAAATTTTCTCTTTGTTTCTGACTAGCATTTGACCTTTGTTAACTCTTGACAATGATGCCCCAAGTCAGCTGTAAGCAGTTAAAAGAATACATCATCCTGGAATCCCTGGTTGAGATGCTAAGTCAAAAGGGAACTCCCTTACATAGGAAGACTTTGTGCAGGTTTAGGAGAGAAATTCTGTTTTTTAAGGAACTATGTCCCCCTCGGTATACTAGAGGAAACATATGTTGCTCCCCTTGGCTTTAAGGGAACCAGGATTGGTTCCCCGAGGTACTTGAGAAGGGGGAAATGTTAGGACATGGAAACCTTTAAGAAACTTTGCTTGATCAGGAGCTGGTTAAGGCACTGGGTTCAAGAAACTTTGCAGCACCAAGAGTTAACTGGAAACAGGAACCTTTGTTAAAGTGCAGACCAACTGTCCCTAGCAGCTAGCCCCTTGTCGACACCCAGCTTTGTGGTCTAGACAGAAGCAGGAATAACTGCTCGGGGGAGGGCGGAGGGCATGCACAGAAGCAGAAGTAGCCGCTTAAAGGAGGAAGGGGGTATGCAGAAGTAGTCCATACCCTGTACTCAGCCAAACTAGCCCCCTTGACCCCGAGTAAACCTGACTTGCGGTTTTTGCCTTTATATGTCAACCCCTAGTGAAGAGTAGGAGCTCTCCCTACTGCACTGTGTCACATGGGGGACCTCTCCCAGGTAGCTGGGATAAGAAATAAACCCTGTTTTTGCATTCTGGACATGTCTGGATTCTGGGGGTCTCTCTGGGGGTCTCTAAATTGGGCAAAACAGTAGGACAAACAGAAAGAAAAGGCTCAAAGCTCCTAGGCAAAAGGTAGGTTAAGGAAAAACAGTTAATTTAAGAGAGCTAGCCAGAAATGAGCTTACAGTAGGCCAAACATTCAAAACTCATAATAAGTCTCCACATCATGTTTTGGGAGCTTGTTGGTGGCCTAAAAGAAAAAGTCTGGTACAAAAGGTGATCAGTATTGGTGGTTACAAAGGAATGGAGTAAAATGGAAGGCAAACTTTCTTATGTGTGATGCTGCTTTTACTCTTTTTTTCCCATGTACTTCATCTTTATTTTTATTTCTTTTTTCAGGTATTATTATTATTAAAAATTTTCACCTTCTCCCCTCCTCCTATTTCCCTCTCCCTCTCTCCATTCCCCCTCCCCCTCCCTCTCCAGTCCAAAGAGCAGTCAGGGTTCCCTACCTTGTGGGAAGTCCAAGGTTCCCCCCACCCCATCCAGTTCTAGGAAGGTGAGCATCCAAACAGACTAGGTTCTCCCAAAGCCACTACATGCAGTAGAATCAAAACCCAGTGCCATTGTCCTTGGCTTCTCAGTCAGCCCTCCTTGTCAGCCATGTTCAGAGAGTCTGGTTTGATCACATGCTCCATCAGTCCCAGTCCAGCTGGCCTTGTTGAGTTCCCATTAGATGAAAGTGGATATGGGAGCACGGAAGTACAGATCTTAATTAAGGGGGCCATTTTAGGGTTGGAAAGAGACTGGACTCTAGAGGGGTTCCCAGGTGTCCAAGGAGATGTCCCCAGCTTGTTCCTTGGGCAGCTGAGGAGAGGGCACCTGAACTGGCCCTATCCTATTGCCACACTGATCAATATCTTGCATATCACCATAGAACCCTCATCTGGTGATGGATGGAGATAGAGACAGAGACCCACATTGGAGCACTGGACTTAGCTCCCAAGGTCCAAATGAGGAGCAGAAGGAGGGAGAACATGAGCAAGGAAGTCAGGACTGCGAGGGGTGCGCCCACCCACTGTGATGGTGGGGCTTATTTTAATGCTTTTACTCTTGCTTTTGAAGCATATTTTGTTTGAAAATATGTTTCAAATGGATGGATAGACAGAAGGACATGTAAGTCAAACCTGGCTTAGTTTGCCCTATAGTGTACCATGATGCTAAGAAAGAAGGAAATAAAGGTGAGTGTGTCTCAGCTTTGTAACAGAACCGATGACTTCTAAAACACACTTCATGGTCTACAACAGTGACACCTGAGACATAACTACTGAGGCTGAGTCCATGCCACATCTGCGACTATGAACTTTATGAGAGGTTTTATTATGAGAGGTTTTATTATGTGTATGAGGCAAGTAGTTGAGAGGAACTAGTACTCTTACAAGGCCACTGGAAAATAAATAGCATCTTTTCCTAAGCTAGGGCACTGTAGGGTACTGCATCACGACTGTCTTCAGAAGGCTGGAAACCCTTTGTTCTGCTGGGAATCCACATGCATCTTTTGCCTTATGCTGCATTTCAGCATGTGGGTGCTTCCTAGATTTCCTTCTGGACACAAGCAGTACTGAATGGGTCTTCAGACAGGCTCCTTTTGAGATATAAAGGGCTGCTTTTAGTGTCCTCAGACAACAAGATCAGGAATATCTGCAAGGCTCACTAGTGGTGGTAGGTCAGGGTGGCTTTTCTCCACCTTGGGTTTTATTCTGGAAAGGCGTGGGAAAGTCTGGGGTCAGCCCAAGCCCTCATCAAGGTCTCTGTGCATCAGCGAAGAACAGACCTTCAGGGATTGGGTCCTGAAATGCTGTGGAAGGTCAGAATCAGCAGATAACAGTGCCTGCCTGATGCAGGCGTAGGGACGTGATAACACGACCTGGGATGAACCCTAATCCATTTCCTTCCACTCTCTGTTCATTATCCACTAGGAACTCATCATCTTATGCCATGGGTTTGGGGTTAGATTGTAAACCTCTATGTATTGATTGGATAGAAACTTGGCCCTCTGCAATGTTGGTTCTGCCCCTATTCAATCTAGTAAGCACAGACTGAGAAAGCTGGAGGAAAACAAAACCTGGATGTGTATTGAACATACACAGATATTTCTCTTGTATCATTCCCTAGCCAGCCCTACATAAGAACTACTGGTAGGACATTTACACGTCATTAAGTCTCTACGTCATCTGGAGACGGTCTGTAGTACACTGGCAGATGTGTAAAGGTTCTGGGCAAGTGCTACACCATTTCTACAAGGAGCTTGGGCACTTTCAGTCTTCTCTATTATCAAGGACATTGGAACCAATGCCCTGTAGATACCGAGAAAGACTCATGCTGCTTCTTATGCTTCTCACCCCCAGTCTGCTGGGAAGCTCCAGCCACATTGCTTCATGGCCACTCTCCCAGTTCTCCCAATGCTACACAGTCCTCCTCAGTGGATGTGTGGAAGGACGGCTTTTAAAGCACAATACTAGCAGGACACACGAGCAGACAATCTGGAGCCCTGCTGGGATGTCAGTCTAAGATACTGTCACCCCCAGGGCCCTGTCCTCAAAGCCATACAGAAGGGTGGAATCTCTTTAGGGCCACTAGACAATAGAAAACTGCAAGAGGAGCTTTCAGGGAGAGCTGGCACTCTCCGAGGACACAGGACGTACCCACTTGGGCATTTTGCCACCATCAGGGTCATGGTGATGATACCGCAGCACAATCACTGTCACCACCACAGACAGGCCCACGATGATCATGGTACTGGCGAAGTACTGTGCTGTGGAGAGACCAGAGGCAGTGTGAAACCCGGGGCCTCAGCAGCACCTACTGGGATAATGTTCTATCAGGGCCTCCTGTGTGGCCATACTAAAAAGCAGGCTGTAGCCTAATACTCTGGTGGAAAGGGACACCCTAGATCTTTTCAAAGACTTCACTTCCCACCATGAAACAGAGGCAATAACTCTCCCACTGAAGCCCAATGGTCTCTGAGGGCTACTGTTCCTATCCCCATGACACACTGGACCGCAAGTAAAACCCCGGCTGCAGCAGTGAGTCCTGAAAACTACCCTGGTCACAGCATCCTTCACATGATCTCATTTGCTTCCATCGAGGAAACTATAAATATGGAGTCTTCCTCTTTCTGTCAGTTATCCCTGGGCAGAAACACCTAACCCAGACAAAACATTTGCTCCACTTCCGTTTCTCTAAATGCATATTTAATAAGTGGATACTGAGTGATCTCAGGAGATAGGGACCAAGAATTAAAATATATGCTTTAGTCAAAACAAAAAACAAAAAACACCAATATCCAGGTAAAATAATGAATCTCAAATTGTGAAGTCTTTGACTCTAGAGCAGATAATATGAATGGGAGGAATACAGGAGGAAGGGACATTCTATCACACACATTCATGTGTACCACCCCCCTGGAAATGGCTCAAGCTATGTTCTTCTGGCTAGTCTTGAACTCTTGAATCCTGTAATCCTCCTGCCTCAGCATCACAAAGACTGAGACTACAGGAACATCATCACCCATGGCCTTTCTTCAGTTTAAAAGCAAGCCACAAATTTGGACATCTTTTCCTTCCTGCTTGGGCCTAGGTATGGGCCATGGTATCTTGTAATAGCTATGGCAAGTCACGTCTCCACAGCAGGGGACAGAGGGGCAGAATAAATCTCTAGGACCTTGAAGGACATGTTTCTCCTCCGTGCACCTGCAGGGAAATCCTGGGCACACTGGAGTCCTTGTCTTACCTATCAAGGGCACGGAATCCGATGTGGCGGGCATGATCTCAGCCACAAGCAGCATGAAGACCGTCAGAGAGAGCAAGACAGTTATTCCTGAAACAAAAATGTGAGGAATTCTTTAGTCATAACTGACAGCAAGGCTGAAATTACACCTCACAGAAGCTCACGACAGTTGCTTCAAAAGCATTATGTAGGTTGCTGGGGCTACACCATGAGTCCCATAGTTTCTGTACATATGGGTGTATGCATTTTTCGGGGTACACTTTCGGTCACCTGCCAGAACCCAAAGGACCCTTGAATGGAGACAAGTTTAGTAGCCACAACTTTGAGAGGATCAACCAGCATGGTTGACTCTCAAGGTCCTGACTGCATTAATACTAAGAGGCAGTTTTATACAGCAGGATCAGGAAACCATGTGGCCAGAAGACTCGTTTTCATTCAAGTCTTGACTTTACAACTTAATTGGCTGTGCGACCTTGAATAAGATGTTTAACATTCTAAGCCTTATGCTAAGAAAACAAAAGCCTCGAGAAAGCTTTCTTCAACACACTAACTATGTATTTATTTAGCAATTTTTTGATATAAGCAGCTCATTTTACCATTCAAACCCTCACTTTTTTTATATTCCCACAGGAGAAGCAATTCCAGAAATTGCATTCCTATTGTAATGTGTGTAATAATTTACCAATGCAAGCTGATATTAAGTTAATGTGTCTCCCATCCATAGAGGAGACTGGCCAGCTACCACTGAGAAACAAAGTGGGTGACAGAGAGGGAGAAACAGCCCATTAAGGTAGAACTCATCTGGTCCCTCACTATATCCTGGTTTTTTTTCCACAAAATTATGGAATCCCTAGACCCTGACAATTCTCAAGAAGACACTCTGCCTCTTGAGAAGGCAGAACCAGGAGTTTCTGGTGTCTGATCCTGGCACAGGGGCTGATGTACGGTAGTTGACAGTGTCCTGCAGAGCTTGCCTCCGAGAGGGACTTGGATACCTACCAAGGGAGATTTTCTCCCCGGAGTCTGCAGGGAGCAAGAACACCAGCAGAGCCAGGGCCGAGATGAGCACACAGGGGATGAGCAGGTTGAGACCGTAGTAGAGCGTCCTGCGGCGCATGGTCACTGTATAGGTAACATCAGGGTATGGCTCTTTGCAACATTCATAGAACTTCTCATTCCTCTTGCCGGGGATGCCTGAGTGGGGTGCCAGAGAAAGGAGGAAGATCATCAGAAGACACAGCTGCTTTTTGTTTCTCGCTAAGTGTGCACTATCCAGGAGCACAGTCCTAAAAGTGAGTGATGGGTGTTGGAACAAACCTTCACGGGTCTGCCACAGCTGTTTAAAGGTATTTCAGCGATAGTCAACCATACCGGTAGATATTCTTTCGATGCCTTAGAAGTACGTACACAGTGTCAATTTTATAGCGTTACACATCCAATTATCAACAGATGCCACATAATGGTGTGTCTGTCACAGGTGGAAGAAATGTACAATGGAGTTGATAACATTGTATCGCTTACGGATTCTGTAGCTGGCTTACTTTGTACAGTGTAAATGCAATCTATGCATTCTATGATCTTCACACAATAAAACTGCACGGCCCTTTTCCAAACATATACCTGATGGCAAGTGACTCCTAGTAATATTGTATTGAATTTAAAATGATGCAATATAGGTATAAAATAAAAGCCAAAATGTCTACAGAGAGAAAAAAATTCAAATTATTTTTCTAAGTCTTATTTGCTGACAGAGCGTACGTCGCTATGTAGGCATCATGTCAAGGAGTGTGTGTACGGAAAGGGACAGTTTCTCAGACTCTCACATTACCTTCCGAGGATTAGGAATGCTGGAGTGACCAGTTTGATCCCTGGCCTATACAGGCCAATGGTCTTAGGAAATGTACAACCACCCTGATCTAGACCGTTTTCAAATTGCCTGACCCATACACCGTGTATCCCCCTCACCTCATGCTAAACTGTCAGATGCACCTTTTGCTTAACAATCTAACGCCCATCCCCTCTCAGCAGAAGACTGACTTTGTGTCTGGTTGAACTGTGTCTCCCAAAGTGAAATGTTGCTCTCTGCCCTAATCCTGCTGTTTGTACTTCTGATTGAGCCCCCACGTGTGATGGTCTTCATCGGCACCATCAACGTCAAGGCGCAGCTCAACCATGCCAGAGGGCTAGAATGGACCCCCGCAAAGTCTGCTCCAGCACTGTAGGTTAACAGGCTCTGCCATGGCTGCTTGCTGCACTCGCTAACTGACTTCCGCTGCTCGTTCTGGAGCTCTCAGGACGTGATGGAGCAGCCTGTCAGGTGGAGCCAGTGAAAGGAAAAGTAGAAAAATCGCCAAGTCTTTCTGTTCACACAGGCGGAAGGCGTCTCTCTTCTGGGATATAAGGTCTTCGTTTTGTGCTAGCCTTACCCATGAGATCCCATTCTCCATTGGGGATATAGCTGCTGATGTCTGCCTCCTGCATCTGCAGGTCCAGGGACCACCCTCCATAGGACCAGGACCCAAACTTCAGTTTGCACTGCTGCACATCGAAAGGGAACCAGCGCACATCAATATAGCAGGAGCTCTTGAATATGCCTAGGTGAGCACGGGAAATGATCAGAAGATTGAAATGGAGGTGAGAGAAACAGGCTCAGAACACACCACCGTTCCTGCAGCCTGCCTCCCCCACTCCCGACACACACTGAACTCTTGCTAGAACCTATTCAGAGCAAGTCAAGGTGCTTTCTCCCCATTTTCCTTTTGGAAAAGCCCTAAGAGAAGCTCAGCCAAAATGTCACTGTTTTTTTTTTTTAAATTAAAACATAACAATAGCCTTTGTTATGGAAGGCTTTTCTCAGGAAACTTTGTGCAAATAATTAATTATAGACTTCATTTGCTAGGAGCACACTCCGAGTCTAAGCAATATGAGAAAAAGAAAGGGTGCAAGAAATCTCAGAGAAGCTGATAAAAAATGATGGAGGAGTTAGAAAGAGAAGTGGAAAGAGACAGGGAGTGTGTGTGTGTGTATTTTTTTTTTGTGTGTGTAATAAACAGTTATCTGAAAACATATGTAGAGTGTAACTCTAACCTGTTCAGTTTCCACAGCAATGGGATAAGGATCAAAATTAAAGAGAGAGAGTTTGGATGCACAAAAACATACTTCACATTTCTTTGCTTAACTAAAGACTGAACGAAGGAAGGAACTGAAGGGTTTTACACTTGTACACTCTACTGCACACCCATGCTGAGAATACATAACTGTCTCTTAGAGGTCCTTTAAATGTGCCTTACATTCCCAGATACTTGGGGAGACAAGACAGGGGGTGACAAGTTCAAGACTATCCCAGGCCACTTAGTGTTATCTCAAAATAAAGAGATAGAAAGGCAGCTAGGGACTCCCTTTCTCAGCGGTGGAGTGCCTACTTAGTATGTATGAGGCTCAAAATTCAACAGCAATACTGTAGTGCATATGGGTGGGTATGTATGTGTGTGTGTGTATGTATGATGTATGTGTATATATACATATACATATATACACACACATATAGCACATGCATATGACTTACAGAATTACTTCAGATGCCCATAGGATCCTGAAAGTCACCACTGACATTCCCTTATCATTTGTGGACTGAATTTCTCCTAATCCAAATACAGTTAGAAAACTGTATTTGATTCCATTTCTATGACAAGACCCAAGAAGGAGACAGAAAAGATTCAATGGTTGCCTGAGGCTGGCAGCAAGATCAGTTAACTGTCAACAGGTAAGGGATAATGGGGACATTCTAAAATTCAATTGTAGTGACCCTCTGAAAATTTACTAAAACTCATGGAGTTAAGATTCTTTAAATGTATAATATGCAAATTCTACCTCCATCTGCCTCTTAAAAATAAACACAGAAAGTGGGTGGAGAGAGCGGTTAAGAACACAGGCTGCTTTTCCAGAGATCCCAGGTTTAATTCCCAGCACTCACATGGTGGCTCACAACCACCCATTTCTTCACTGACAGTGTGCTGGAAGGCATCACATAGCCCTCTCTATAAGGTACCTGCAGCGTGGAGGAAGGGCTGGAGCAAGCAAGCGGATGACTTAAGACAGAAAGCCTGAAAAGAACACTTCTCTAATCAATATAAACATCAGTGAGAGGGATATGTCTCTGCTGGATTCAACCACTTATTCATTCATTTATTGACACAGCCACCTGCAGTTGAGAAGTGATGGATTGTAAGGTGAGCAAACAAAGATTCTGTCTACAGAATTCTTATCATCTGCTAAGCGGAGGAGCATTGTAAACAGTAGGCAAAGCCAGCTTCACCATGTGCTTGGAGATGGGGGGCTAGAGAAGTGTGCGTGCGTGTGTGTGTTTTATAAGAAGCTACATACTCAAGGGGCACATATGTTAGGAGTGTGTTAGTGTGTTCTGAGTGTAGTCACAACAGTGTAGGCAGTGGGTTTCAGATATGTTATAAGTAGTTTCAGTGAGGAATATTTAATTCTTGAAAATATGTTAATGAAGCTTCTAACTAATTAAATAAAAAGAATTGATATTCATATACTAGAACACACCTTGAATGTGCCTCAAAGGGCAGGGAAATAGATCAACCCCATGAAGCTATTTACCACCAGAAGGTTAAGAAGAAGAAAAGAAATGAGTTGAGGAACAAGTCACCAGAGGGTGCTCCCTGGAAGGCCCTGGGTCTTGCACCTAACTTGTGAGCAATCTTAACTTCATGAGCACAGAATGCCCACCATCTTCCCAGCACTGAAGGACCTGTCAACTTCCTGTGCCAACTGGGGAGAGATGAAGGAGAAAAGGCCTGCCTATCATGTTTATGGCCCGAAAGAAGAATGGGAAATTACTCAACAAAGGAGAGTAGACTGTGAATTACCATGAGTAGGAACAGAAGATAGACCTTGGCAAAGACCTTTGAAATGTGATCTTACCTTCAGAGATGATACCCAGAGTGAGGTAAGAGAAATGTAAGACCTCCGATGGGAAGGGATAGGTGGTTAACCAACATGGAGTCAGTCCTCCCCTCAGGAGGACAGTCTTCAGCACACCAGTCCTCCCCTCAGGAGGACAGTCCTCGGGACACCAATCCCCTCCTCAGGAGGACAGTCCTCGGGACACCAATTCTCCCCTCAGGAGGGAAGTCCCTGGGACACCAGTCTCCTCAGGAGGACAGTCCTCAGGACACCAGTTCTCTCCTCAGGAGGGCAGTTCTCGGCACACCAGTCTTCCCCTCAGGAGGGACGTCCTTGGGACTGATGCGCATACTTGCTTAAATTTTCTCACTGGATGGAGGCCAGGGGAGTAGATCTTACCTGGAGGAAGATATTGGCAATGCCCAGACGCATTCACCAAGACATTGGTGTGGAATGTGGCATCAAACCGCTCATCAGCACTAGAAATAGGAAAGGGATTCATGAGCCAGAATCTCTAGGCAGTGGGTTTCTTACTGTCATTAGATTGTCATGCTTATGGGTCAGAAAGCTTTTTGAAGGTTTCCTGTTTGTAGCTGGACAATGCCATACCTGCCTGGGAGAGTCAATGCGGCTTACCTGCAAGGTCCTCTCAGTGAGGTGCCAATGGCCACTCCCATTTCATATGACATGTGATGTCCTGATTTTCTTTCTGTTGCTATGATTAAAGCAACTTAAGAAATAAAGGTCTCTTTGGCTCACAACTCTAGGTTCCAGAAAAGTCAAGGTACCATGCTGCGAGAGCTCCTTCTGCTCCTTCAGCCAATAGCCGCTGAGATACCAGCCCATTGGGGCGTGGTCTCTCTTTCTTTAAAAAAGCAGCGGCTGTCCTCCATTCCCTCTCTGGCTTCCGGCTCCACTTCCGGCTGCTAGACTCCTTTCCTGATCATGCAGAGGGGCTGTTGTCTGGGACGGTGATCTGTAAGTTTTTCTCCTTTAAATAAATAACCATTCTATTAACCATAATTCCAAACTGGTGTGGGATTGTTTGTGACTTACGCCTTCAGCAGTAACAATGTATCCCATGCACAGTCCAGATCTGAGAGAATAAACACAAGGACCCCCACTTGCTTTCTCTCAGCCAGCCTTTTCCTTTCTCCCCCAATCAGGCCTCCCTGCCACGGTGACATTATCCCAGAGGAAACATAAATAAACATCTACTCATCCCTGATAAGGGACCAAGGACAGACTTAAGTAAGGATACCTCCAAAGTCCAACTTGATGAACCAGTTAAGTTTCTATGGGTGGCTAATCACAGCAATATTGGTTAGGGGTTGCTTATAGGGGCAGAAATGACTCCAAATATTTGCACCATCAAAGTCTACCCCAGAATGGGCGAGAGCTCAGAAAAGCTGGAAACACTGCCTAATCTACAGTTAGCTGAACAGTTTAAAGGGTGTCCAACAGCAACGTAGGCAGGAAAGGGTTGGTTTGTAGGTTACAGACTACCAACAATGGAAGCCAAAGCAGGAACCTAGAGGCAGGGACTGCAGTAGAGACCACAAAGTAATGCTGCTTCCTGGCTTACTCCAAATGGTTTGCTCAGCTTGCTTTCTTATACAAACACTTGCCTAAGGGTCGTGTCTTAAGGTTACTTTTGCTGTGATGAAACACCATAACAAAAAGCAACTTGGGGAAGGAAGTGTTTGTTTCACTCACAGTTCCATTTGACAGCTCTTCAACAAAGGTAGTGAGGGCAGGAACGCATTCACAGCAGGGACCTGGAGGGCGGAACTGATTTGGATGCCATAGAGGAGTGCTGCTTACTGGCTTGCTCTACTCGACTTGCTCAGACTGCTTTCAAATAAAACCTTTAACCGCCAGCCCACAGTGGGCTGGGCTCTCTCCCTCATCAGTCACTAACTAAGAAAATGCCTACAGCCTGATCTTAGGGAGGCATTTTCTCAGTTGAGGCTTCCTCCTCTCTGAAAGCCAGCTCCTTTTCAGTTGGCATAAAACTAGCCAATCCAGGTAGTAGAGTCCAGCGGGCTGGGCCCTCACATACCAATCAACAATCAGGAAAATGTCACATAGATAAAAAATGCCACATAGATAGGTTCATAGGCCGACCTGATGGGAGAAATTTCTCAGTGGAGGTTCCTTCTTCTTCCAGGTGGTTCTAGTTTGTGTCAACTTGACAAAAACTAGCCAGCACACCAAGGTTCAAGAGTGTCCTTTAAATCTACGGGAACCAAACTGAAGCCACACTCCTACCCCCTACTCTACCTGCCTCTCACACTCAGGGCCCTCTCACCCCAGTGCTGGCAAGTGGAGACTGTCTATTACCACCAGCGCTGCGACATTACTTATGCTAGTCAATGCTAAAACCATTTGCTCTTCAGGATGATCAACTCAAGACAACCAAAGTAAACGCCACTGCTTACTGCTTTCTCTCTGTTCTGTACTTTCTACCTCACATCCGACCCAGAGATTTGTCATGGGCCCCTCCTAGGGTGCATTATATCTTGCTTTGGGAACTACTTGGAAAAACACAAAACAAAACAAATCTTGCTTAAGGATAGTTATGTTCTTATTCCTGCATCAGACCATTGCAGATTAAAGTCAATTCTATGTAGCCTTAAGACGCCAAACTTTATGTCAATAAACTGCCCCAAGAAAGCACCAGCAAGGATGAAGAGATAGCTCACTGGGGTCATGTGAACTGCCCTCCCTACCCCGACACTCCCACAAAAAAATCAGGCATGGCTGTTTATACCTGTAACTACAGCACTGGTGGACAGAGACAGATGGCTACACAAAGTTCTGGCAGCCAGCCTTTGTAAAACATAGAGTTTTCAGTTCAGTGAGAGACCCTGTCCCAGCCAATAAGGTGAAGGATAATAGGATAATAGAGGAAGATGCTGGGTGTCATATGTGGCCTTTGTGCACACACACACACACACACACACACACACACACACACACACACACCTCTAAATAGAAAACCCAGGCATCCAGTAAACTAACTGGTCACACAAAGTAATGTTCCTCTCCCTTTGACAGCCAAGAGCCCCAGCTGGGGCTGCCCATGTGGACATCACCTCGAGCAGCCTGCTCTGTGTCCAGGGTACCTCAGATGAACACTCAAGAGTCACAAGGCACGAATGATCCATCTTCCCTGGGAACCACAGAATCATGGGGTCAAAATTTTAAAACATTTAAAAACAAAGGTAAAACTGTGGCTGATGAAATAATTTTCAACAAACAGTGGGAGGTTCCACTGGTAAGCGTTGGGGAGAATAAGAAGAACAAAGCTGACGTTTGCCACCAAGGACAAGGGCAGTAGAGCCCACATCACTGGCAGGAGCCCCACTGGGAGACAACAGACAGAGTGGGAGGGAGCAAGCTGCCAAAGAAAAAAGGACACAAAGGAATTCTCTAAGCAGAAGGAAACCATTCAGTTGTGAAAGAAGAGAGACGTATTTACAGGAACATGAAGGCCAGAGAGAGTTAGAGTCCCACACACCTGTCATTGGGCAACTTTAGAAAAATTAGGGTAAAAACCGAGATGGATGGATGGACGGACAGACAGACAGATGAGAGAAGAGTTTTATACTCAACTGGGATGGGAGAACCCTGAGATTCTGGGGAGGTTCTTCGCGACCTCAGAAAACATTTTCTTTTTTGTGGTTTATGGAAATGGATATAAAAATCATCCCACACTCAAATGACAGGATCTGAAGTTTTTGCACTTCAAAGACAACCAGTGTATTCGTGTGGCTCATTTTCCTTCTTTCTGAGTGAAAAATGTAGCAGGTTTTCCTTTTTTTCTTCCCCTGAATGCACACATGTTTGAATCTCTTATACAAGTCACCACGTAAGACTTCAGCCTGACATTGCCCTTTTAAGAAGTACATATATGCACTTACAATTTCTTACAGTGAATCTGTGTTCCTACCAAGGTTGGTGATCCATACCATCCACAGAAAGTGTGAGGTGCTCACTGAAGCAGAGTGTTTTCATATGACATTTGATTTTTATATTTATAATAAATACCACCATGAACATCTATAAGACCAATGATTCAATTATGAAAACACAAAAAGCAGTTCCTAAAAGCTTTCCTTTCAAGTATTTAGATAAATTTAATTGAAGAGTTCTCAAGACCACAAGAGAAATGAGCTACACACAAGATAAAACGCTGTTGCCATTAGCAACGGCAAACCTGGGTGATTCCATGACTTGTGACTATTGTTCATCCAAACAGAACATTGAAATGGACTGGGCTGTAACATTGCAGCTGCCATCCAAACAGACCCTTGCGTTCAGGGTGGCAGTTTCACACTTCTGTTTCTGGCAAAATAATTTCATCAATAAATAACACGAAAGTAAACTTGTGCAATGGATTTGTGCTGCTACCACTTACCTGTTCTGCACATTACGTCTAGATAAAAGGCAGGTTTGAAAAGAGAAGGGGCCTGTTGCAAAGCACTAAGCTTAAAATTAGCCGTCCTCAGAAACTCAGGTGTGCCAGGCCAGTCATGGACCTCAGTGTCTCTGAATCAGTACAGGTGACCACATGGCCCAGCCCTGTGCCAGTAGAGCTGCCCTACAGATACCAGAGCACAGCAACCACTGTGCGGTAATCTCCAGGCTCAAAGCTATGAATGCTGAAAATACTGGAGGACAGTCTACAGGACGCCACTTCCTCTTTCCTTTGCTTCTGGGGGTATCTTAAGTTTTTCTGTCAGTGACTGGAAGATGCATAGTTCTTGGGGACATCAGATCTGTGGTTACAGTCCCATCAAGAGCTGCCTTTCCAGGCTGCCTCAACTCTCCACCAGGCAAGAAAGACAAGAACCTGTACGTGGTAGAAGGGGAGCTCTGAGCTCCATTCCCATCTCTACCCAACAAAGGACAATGGGGGAAATTAAATCAAATATTCAGATTAGGGTTCTCTATCTTTGAGATGGTCAGGTGGGTTGGGCAGAGCTCTGCAGGTAAAACTGAGGAATCCATGTCGCTGGGAGAGGACATAATTGCGTTACATTCCTGGGGTAAACTGGGACATGGAGGCTTTGGGAAACTCAACCATACAGTGTGTAAGTCTATCCCCCAAGAAGTTATTCAGGAAAAGGGTCTTGGGTGCAAACTGAGGGAGACAATACAATACCACATTCTGCTTTCAGAAATGTAAAAGCATAAGAAAGGAGAATCTGCAGAACTCAGACAACAGAGGACAGGACTTAAGGATGTCTCCCTGAGCTCTGACAGAGGACATGGTTCTGCACCCAGAGAAAAGCTTGTCCCAGTCACTTCAGCTCTCTCAATAGTGCTGACATCTACTATAGAGCATGAGGGACCAATCCTATGCCGAAAAGGTGAGAAGTGACCGTGCCACCCACAGAGGAGAAACCACTCACCTGAGACAAACAACGAAGGAGCTAATCTCTAGGAGGCTCAGTAAGACCATCACCAAGAA